CCAAAGAAGGACCTTGCATCACCTGCCAGCTGGTTGACTGAGAGAGAGAGGCCTGTATGGGCTCTGCGAGCAGCAGTCGACTGCCAGACAGGAGAAGAGTCACTCTCCCTGTCGGGGAATCACTGAATCCCACCAAAACGCAGCCACTTCTGGAGGGAAAAAGGACAAGCATTGATTACCACCAAGGAAGAAGATATATAGGCAGGGAAGGGATTTAAAACTTCTCCCTTAATGTGAATTAACTACACCATCATCAGAGCTGGAATTTAACCACAACATCAAAGTTAATACCTCTGGCAGGTGGAAAAGGGCAGAAGAGGCACGGCAAATATTGTTGCTTAGCCAAAGCCTTATTTCACTGCATCTTCATGGGCAGCACTGGTGTTTGTTAACCTGGGTGGTGTCGGAGAACTCCTGCCTCACACTACACCAGAGAAGCAGATCAGATCTTTCTGCACCCTGAGCACACTGATGGCAGGAGGACCCGGCCTATCTGCATTGCCTTTTGATGTCCCAAAGAACTTCTTGAAGAATATTATCTGAAAGCTTACATCAGCAGCATGATTTCTTCTGCCACTTCTTTTGCTTTTCACTTGCAGATTTACATGCCAAAGCAAAATAAATCCTGCTACTTAAACTGAAAGCCTGTGCAAAACAAGAGCTGATTGCGACGACTGGATAAATGCTCCAGTCCAATGCTGCTGCAATTCCTACCCAGGACCTGAGTACAAGACTGGCAGCAGGACCACCGAGGCCCTGGGACACCCACAGCTCCCTGGGTGGCACCGCCTGCTCCAATGCTGCGCTATCGTCCCTCCGATCCTGGGAGGCGTTGGCACAGTCAGATGTGACTGTCATGCGCTGCTTTGCCTACAAGATCATTGCACTTTACAGGAACCAGCTATTTCTCTTCTGCTGACTCATCTGCAGGCAATACTACTAAACTTTGCACTCTGCCAGCTGTCTGCAGGGAATTGCCTTGACACATGGACAGCATGTAAGTGGAAGCCTCAGGGAAAAAGAATAAGTCCTGTCACTTCAGATAATACCCTTGCCAGGCTATAAGGTACCAAAGAGTCCCTGTATTCCTCCACATTCCTCAGTCATGGGTTGAAGGGAATCCTTTTCCCCCTGTTCTTCCCCACCTTCAAGGCTCAGTTTACAAGTAACCTTACTGGCATGTACCCCTGTAAAGATCTGTTGTAAACAGAAAGACTTGGAAGAGGTTAATGGCAAAAGACTCATCATGGATTTCTTTTTAATCAGTGTTTAAAAATCTTGCCCAATCTCCAAGGCAACTTCATGCCCCGCCCAGGCTTGCTATACCCACCTCTGTCCCAATCTCCAGACTCAGAGCATCTGCCTGGAAACAGAGTGCTGCTGGCTGTGACCCAGCCTGTTCACCTCCAGAGACACTGGGATGGTCCCCACAGTCAGCATCTGCTCTACCTACGCGGTCTAAGTCCTTGAGCGCCTTGTAAAGGTAACTGCAGGATCTGGCAGGGTCCTGTCTACACATAAAACAGTCTGCTTCAGCTTCTCTAGATAAACAACAGCAGCTATCCTGCAGCATAATCACAGACACTTGAACGTACAAAAGGGATTCCAGTTCAGCCAATGCTACTCATTGGTCCAACAGCATCCAGACCTTTGCTACACCAGCTAGAACAACCTCCCAGGCCTTGCCTCCTCTACTGATCTAGGCAGGCTGATAGCATTTTCTCTAGCAGAGCCTGAGAATGAACAAGCTCTGGCACTTGTGTCCTGCAATCGATAAAAAGATGCTGCTTCTCACCAACAAAGTCCCCAGTGGCTTAAGACAATTCTACATAACACCACCACAACTGAAAAGAGTGCAGCGTGATCACCTTGGCAGTGCTGTGAATTAATATACACATAAAAAAGAAAAACTGCCAGCAAGACCTTCTCTGTGAATTCACAGCCCTTCTGGGTATACCATAACCCCAAGGCACCGAGAGTCCCGCCATGCAACAGTTACTATTTGTGGCTCTTTATACAGTGATTTCAAGACAGTTACATCCCAGTTAGATCTTGGAGTGAGAAACTTCCAAGTCATGAATTTTAATAATTATGTATATACAGCAAATACCTTCGGGAAATAAAGCATGGGTATTTGTCATCTGAATTTCAAAAGCAAATACCACGGCTGTCCTCAGGCCCAGGAGTCCTGCAGAGGGAAACCCAGCGGTACCTGTCCCTGACCACCCCAGCCCTTGCCAGCTGCTCACCAGGGTCCTGGTGTTGCAGCAGGACAGGGTAGGGACACAGGGAAGGCCACCTGCAGCACCCCGCACCTCCCTCCACAGCCAGCGAGGGCTACCGAGGAGCATCGCAGCTCTCAGAATTCCTGAGGGCTTTAAAGTCTAAGCACAAACCCATTAATGAGCGCAGCCAGGGCTTTGGTGGACACCAAAAGCGGGTTACAGAGGACGAGTGCCTGCGCAGCAGCTGGGTCACACCTTCCTTCGCCGCGGCCAGGGCCACCTCCTCACTGTCCTCTCTAGGCCGTGGCTGTGTCCTCTAGGTCGGGACATGTTCCCCAGAGCCCCCCTGCTCGGAACCCTGCGGGTGAACTCCAAAAGTTTCCCGCAGCGTCTGCTGCTGTCTCCTCTCAGCCATCCCCGAGGAGCAACCCCGAGGATCACACCCGAGTCCGAGCCCCAGCCCCAGCCCCAGCCCCTGCCCAATCCCCCACGAAGCTTGGCACGGCGACCACCCCAGCAGACGCTGCCCCCTCACCCAAAGCCAGTGCCCCACGTCCCGGCCGTCTAGCACCTCCCGCCTGAGCCACGGCCACCCCGCGGGGAGCGCGGTCCGGGGAGGGACCCCCGAGCGGCTCCGCAGCGGTGCCCTCGTGTGCCGCCAACCCAAACCCGCGCCCCCGTGACAGGCATGGCTCTGTCTCTGTCCCTGTCGCTGTCGCTGCACCCACAGCCCCCCACCGCCCCCACAGCGCCAGCCTCCACTGCCGCCGGACTCCCCCTTACCCGCGCTCCGCCGCCGCTCCTCTGCCCAGCCCGGCCCGGCCCAGCTCGGCCCGGCCCGGCCGGCCCCGCCCCGCTCCCGCCGACGCCAACGGGGCGCGGGCGGAGCGTCGGCCCCGCAACGACGGGAAGCGACCGGCCCGGCCCCGGAAAGCTGCGTCCCGGGAAACCGCGCCTTGGAAACCTCCGTTCCGGATCGCGACGGCCCTCCGCGTCACGGAATACACTGAGTTGGAAGGGGGCCACAAGGATCGGCCAAGTCCGTCTCCTGGCCGTGCACAGGGCAGCTCCGAGAATCGCGTCGTGTGCCTGAGAGCCTCGTCCGAACGCTTCTTGAGCTCTGGCAGGCTTGGTGCTGTGACACTGCCCTGAAGAGCCTGTTTCCAGTGCCCGACCATCCTCTGGGTGAAGAACCTTTCTTAGTATCCAACCTAAAGCTCCCCACTCTTCATGCCATTCCCTCGGGTCCTGTCACTGGTCACCGCAGAGAAGAGATCAGTGCTACCCTCCTCTTCCCCTCACAAGGAAGGTGCAGACTGTGATGAGGTCTCCCCTCAGTCTGTCCAGTGTAAATTCCGGGGGTTCTGGAAGGAGGGAGCAAAGCATCCTTAGTGCTGCCCTGAGCCATGGTGACTTCAGGGCAGCCCTGCATGGCCACACAGCCACGGTCCTCCAGCCTGTCCCGGCGGTGCAGGACACCAGTGCACACTGCTTCAGCAGCAGCTCGCTCTTTCACCAGGGAAAATACAGCATCCCTGTCCCATGCCACAGCCAAGGGTGGTGAGGTTGAACGATCACGGACGCAAACCTTCTTACCTACTTTGTACAATACGTTTGTGAAGCAGCCATTAAACCCCTCCAAAACAGAGCAAGCGCAAGGTGAAAAATCATGATTTAATAGCCATGACTTGATATAAGCATCCAAACGAGTCTGAGGTCATATATACCATCTCCTGGAAAGTGTTGCTGGGGAGGGAGGGGGTTTGCTGGTCCCTAAAACTCACACTCCTGGGTTGTGCATAAACTAAGCAGTGCCGTCTCATCTCTGGGCAGGTGCCTATGGGTGACACCCACAGGCAGCAGCAAAGCAATCAGGGAAGTCACCCTCCGTCTCCCATCAGAGGAAAGGGAGAGGAAGCCCCTTTCAAACAGAGACCCAGCAGTGTGCTGTATCTGGCACTGTAGCCCAAAGAGGGATTTTAGAAGATGCATCGTAATTTTTTACTTCCCTGACTTCCAAGAGCTGCACAGGGAGAGTGTGTTCTGCTCCTGAAGTTGGTGAGGGTGGGATTCAGGGTTCACCTCACCCCACTTCAGCATGCTAAAAGCCAGTTCATGTCACTGGAATGGTTCACCTGTGCTTGGTCAGCACACAGAGAACAGGCATCACCACAGAACAACTCATCCCACTTTCCAATGGGCATCCAAGATGCTCTCTGGTGGCACGCACTTTCTCAGGAACCAACCTGGTCTTCTAACTTTGGGGGAGTGAGAAGCTTTAGCACTCTTCTACAGATCTACAGCAGCCTTTCCAATGCTGGAGTCCTAACAAATTTGGTTGTAAACACCCACCCTTGTATCCCAAAACAGAGAGGCAGAGATTGAGAAAGCACTGCAGTACCTGCTGAAGAGGACAAGGAGCAATGATCATTTGCAATGTCCCTGGGTGCACCAAACCAAAGAGCAGTTACAGCAGGGAGGAGTTTTGGCAGTCTTGGGGTGTGCACGCTGCTGGCCTGACCTAATGCCCTAAATACCTTGTCTTCCTATCAGTTAATATCACCTTATGTGACACAGTTGGGACTCACAGCCCAATTGTTACAGGAGTCACAGAAACAAATCTGGATAACCAGAATAAGAGGTCAGCTTTATGAGTTAATTTACAAAGAATCCTCAGAAAACATTCATCTGAGTAATGCAGACAAGCCATCCAGGGTAGTGCACCTTGTAGAGTGGAAGAAAATGTCACAGTAGAAGAAGTATTAAATACATAGATTTATTATGTTTCTTTTCTTATAAATATTTCATTAATTTCATAAAAATAAAAGTAACAGAACCCTTTCAAGACAAAAGTTTAGTTTGTCTTAGAAACAATACACTTTTAGGACAAAACCAACATACTACATAAAAAACAAAGGGCCATTTAAATAAAGGACATAATAATATTGTGCTTAAAGCTCTATTGATATCCACAAGGAAGAAGGAATGTTGTAGTGTGTAGACCAGGTGTAGGACATGCTTTGTAGAGCTGTTATTTTCTTAGGTACTAAAGGAAGAACATGGTGCTTTAGTGCACTTTAACAAAAAATACCCCAAAGCAAAGCTTTCTCCTCCAACTCTGTCCCTCTGTGCAATGTTTGCCACTTTCAATAGTAGAAGCAGCCAAATGCAGCTACCACACAAAACAGGCTGTCCTGGGGAAAACAGAGAAAGGCTCCATGTTAGTCAAGGCAAGCTCTTTGCTAGCCTAGTGGAATGGGAAAACCTTGGGAACATTTAGACCAGAGCATAACCTCGGTTTGTAATATATTGCAACTTTCTGTCTTTTGTTCACCTCACTTTTGGTGTAACCCAGGCCAGTGCATCTGAATGCCAGAAGTGCCTCGTTCTCCTCCATCCACACACCCGCAGGTGTCTAGGTGTCAGTTTAAGAAAAATAATGAAGTAAAACCTTGACTTCTACTCAGTCCTGGATTTCAGCCATGCTCCATGACTGCAGTTCAGCAAAGCACAGAGAAAAGACTTTGTCTCTTGTGCTTCCTCTCCCCACCTGTAAAATGGTGTGACTATAATGACTTTTGTACAGTACTGTGTGACCTACTCAGGAGAGAAGTTTTACTATGTTGGCTATTATATCTAAGTATGTTATGTGAATGAGGACATAAATCATACTGGTTCAATAGTCTCGGTTCCTTCCTTCTACTGGTTGCGTTTTTTTCTGCTCCATGTTTAAGGTCTCCCTGGCTCTCATACAAAA